GGGGGGGGGGGGGGGTGGTTTTTTGAGTTTAGCATCCTGTCTGACTGGGGACATTTCAGTTTGTCTCCCCCCACAAGGTGGAGAACCTGGAAAAAAAACACTGTAGGAAAAGGCTTCATGAAATGTTTATTAAAATCCTTTTTCATCAGATTTTTTTTTTTTTTGTCTTTATCGTTGCCTTTCTAGCAGTTTTGGTGGTTCAGGGGTTGATAATCACCTTAATCGGAGTCTGTGGGAAGTGATTAAGAATACAGCTCAGTATGGCCTTCGCGCATGTGGGGATGTCTGTCTTTTTTATGTTTGTAATCACCACTGATTCTCACCAGTGTTTCCACAAAACCCAGTAACTGCGGCCTTCGGAGCAGCTGCTGGTCTGCAGAAAGATTCTCCGAATGGGAGCTGCTGGACTCTCGTGGTTGGCGCCACAGATTCCTGGACCCCGTTTGTTTTTTTTCCCGTTGTGGACAGCCCCCCCCCCCCCATGCATGTTTGTCCTCATGATTTGGCTTCTGCTCTCTCAGGGTGTCTGTGTACCATTTTTTTTAAGTGGGGATGCAGGCCTGTCCTAGTGTTGCCGTGGGTAACAATCTTTGAATCGATTCGGTTTCAGCCTCTCTGATTGAAGAATCGCTTTGCCCTCAGTGCTGGTTGGCTGTTCAGGTACAGCCTGCTACTAATCTCCCTCTGTCTCTCTGTATGTGACGGATGTGTGTCGGTCTGATGCCCGGAAAGGTGCCCATGTTGCACCCCTGTTTGCCTTATGGTTCTACCACCATTCCGTGTGCCGGAACGCGAGGCTTAAACCTTAAACGAGGGCTCTTTGGTGTCGCTTCCCACTCTACTTGACGTGTCCGAGCTGAAACGATCGGGGGTTTTATGGGAGGGAAATAAGAGCTGGGGGGGGGGGGGGGGGGGGGAGGAGGGAGGGAGTTCAGTATCGCCCCCAGCATACGTGTAAAAGAGGGTGTGCGGGTGATCGTAGATGTGAGTGACGTGGCGATGTTTGGACACGTCTGCAGAACAGTCCGCCATCCAGTCCTGGGACTTGCTGGGCGTTGGGGGCGTGTGGGCCAGCATGGGGAGGGACGCGCTATGCCGTCCGACTGGACTGTCTGCATCTCCAACCGCAATGGATTCAAAGCGCTTCGAGGCTTGTTAATTATATGCTTTGGCTCAGAACCAAAAAACGCACATTATCGCCCATTTTGGGGTTAATGAAAGTATTTGCTTGGCATTTAGTTATTCATTTAGGTTGAATTAGATGTTCTGGGTGTTTCTTTTGGGTTAATGAATTAATTCCCGTGCCGGGACCCATGTGACTTTCCCGCTGAGTCGTCTCTGCGGGTCCGGAGCTGATTTGGCGGCATAGCTGCCCTGCCCTGGAGTTCCGGAGCAGATTGCAGTGGTTTAACTGGAGTGGACCCTCAAAATGGAGAGATGATGGTCAGTGGGCTTCAGTCGTGGGCTGATAGAGGTCTGTGAGAGGAGATGTGCATTGCTGTGTTCACTCCCAGGCTATAAATATGGGGGGAGGGGGCGGTACCCCTCTGACGAGGCTGTGAGTAAAGACTAATTGTGGCTAATTAACACTGTCATGTGACTTAAGTCTGTGGAGAGCTCTTCGACAGGAATGTTTAATGAGATTTTCTGGGGAAGCTGTACTTTATAAGGCATTTCCTGGGGTGTAACACCACTGGGGTGGAGGTGTAGAGGGAGGGACAGAGCATCTGGAGAGGAGATAGCAGGAAGCCCAAAATCAGATGGAGGACTGGGTGGAGTTAGCAAGCCGCTGCTCTGTGAAGAGCGAAGCCTCTTCATGCGGGACTCTGCCTCGCTGCTCAGATAGGGGTGGGTGTGAGCGTGTGATCTCCTGTCAGAGGTATTCTGCCGGCCAGGGACGTATCTGATCTGTGATCGTTTAAAACTCCTGCAGAATGTTTAGCATAATATGAAGAAGACTGAGATTTGATTGATTTTAGGTGTTTTACATTTCGAAAATGATCTCCTTTTGGGGAATCCCCCCCTCCCTC